AGGGCCCAAACTAGGAGTATAGAACGGCAGGGGGATGGAAGGGTGAATGCTGCTTAGGGAGTCCCAGCCGGGAGAGTTGCGCTATAGACTTACCCCAAGAGGCCTGAGGATGGTAGTGCAGGCTAGGAAAGTTAGCCGGTGGTGCAGGCCCAGGGAAGCAGAGAGGGGTGAGGGCGGGGCCAGGACCAGAAGTGGTGCTCCTGGAGCCCAAGAAAGGGACTGAGTTGGTCTGGGTGAGAAGGATCAGGAAGCAGTATTGGTTCCCCAGGTGTCTGTGGCCCCAAGACTAGGAATGGCACAGGGCCCAGACTAGGGGTATAGAACGGCGGGAGGGATGGAAGGGTGAATGTGGCTTAGGGAGTCCCGGCGCGGAGAGCTGCGCTACAGACTTTGTCTTCATTTTTTTATAACCTACTAAGTCCAGTTAGTGCTACCCATATATGCATGGGCATAGGGCCATCCTCTGGTGCATGAGAAACCGACCAGTGGCCACAAAGAACCATTCTCCCTCTGTATAGGGTTTTTTAAATTGCTAAATAATATTCCATCATCCATTCATTAGTCGATGAGCATTTGGGCTTTTTAGAATAATGCTGCTCTAAACAACAGTGCCCTATCTTGCTACTCACTGATGTGGTTCCAGTTTGATAGACCATCAGCCTCCCCATGGCTACATGGCTACATGCCATGGCTACAGTGCAGTTTAAACTTTGCCATTTGTGTTCTTTGAGATGTTGATGGGACCCAGGAATCTTTCTCCACTATGACCTAACCAGTAAATTGGCACTAATCTATTAATTTTTTATGTGCAATTTAATTTTAGTCATAGTTCCTAAGTGCACATAATAGTTGGGCAAAAGAAAGAGAAAAGTGTCAGGAAAGTTTTTTGCTTTCCAAGGCCCTACACAGGAGTGTGTGTGTGTGTGTGTGTGTGTGTGTGTGTGTGTGTCTGTGTGTCTGTGTATACAAGCACACAATGCCTGTGCTCTCTTTCTCCCTCCCTTCCCTGTTGGTCCAGCTGGCCTGGCTTTCTGCTTCAGAACCAAAGTTGATGGGCAAGACCAATAACCAAACAGGGGAAACCAAGCCCAGAGCCAGGGCTGGGGCCAGGACACAACTACTGCTGTTGGATTGGAAATACTGGAAGCCATCCTTGGGCCATTTGGAGATGTTAATTAGGCTGGCAAATCCCCACTGGTCTTGGGTTGCCAGTGTTGAGTTGTGAGTGCAGGCTTTCCCATCCACTGCCTGCACCTGTTCCCTTCCTCAGAGCCATTCCAAGGGGTCTGAATAACCCCATCAGCTCTCTGATCCCCCTCTGCCTGCCTTCCTGCTGGGAGGATAGTTAGCACTTGCCTAAAGCTGGAACCCCAATCCACTCTTTTTTCCCTCACTCATGCCAGCTCTCAAAATCATTCTTTTCCCTAATTATCTTGAACTGGTTAATCATTTTCCATACTGACTGTTCAGTAACAAGGATGTGGGGAGAGGCGGCCACTTTTCTTGTCTGCCCTTGCCCAGTGCTACCCCAGGTGGCAGTGCTGGACTTGGGGCCTTCCTCGGATGCTTGCTTCAGACTACACTCTTTTGTTAGTGGAGAAAACATGTCCTACAAATACCCTTGGATTCTCAAAAAGCATCTCTAGGCAGAGCTGTAGAGAATACCATAACTGTTGTTTCCTGTATTTTTTAAATCCTTGTTGATATTGAGAGTATCAAAAAAGTCACATGACACCAAAAAGTAAAACATTCCTCTAACAGTGTCTTCTGGGTTCTCCAGGCCCAAACTCTTGTGTCGGAGCTGCCAGTTGGCCACAACTGGGCCCTTTGCTGTCTAAGATAAACTGTGAAAGGGTCTTCCTAGGAGCTCCCTCAGCTGTTCCTACATGGGAAGGGACTGGCTGCTGATCCCTAGCACTACTAGTGTGGAAGTCTGCCTTCTCATTTAAGATGTAAACCCTACAGTCCAATCTCTCTCAACCCTTTTTTTTTCCATTACCACTCACACAACCTCTTCAGACTTGTTTCCTAATTTGTCCCCTCCCTTGGGACACCACAGATTTTGTGTGTGTGTGTGTGTGTGTGTGTGTGTGTGTGTGTGTGTGTGTGTGTTCATTTGTATGTTCTACCTCCTCTACCATCTACCGAAGCCCCGGAAGTAGAGGTTTTGTCTGCTCTATTTACTACTACATCTAGAATGGTTCCAGGCACATGTCCCAGTTGATGAAAAGATGAAAAATAAAAGTGCACTTTGTGTCTCTGCCTCTTTCCTCCCAGGCACCTTGCACCTCCGAGTCTCTTTCCCATTCCCAATCTACAAGCTCAGTACTCTGTCTTCTGGAATCTTCCAGTAGTGCACAGGGTGGTTGATGCTTTGTGCTGATCCCCAGATTGTACTATGAAGCTAACAGCTTACTTTGTGGTCCCAGCAACTGGGACCTGACCCTTTACGAGCACTATCTGCATGTCAAGGGCAGGTGACATCTGAGCCCCATGGAATAATCAAGGCGGCCTCCAACTGCTACTGCCTATGCATCTCCTTAACTCAACCATGGATTGGCAGTTACTGAAATATTCTTTGTGGTCCAGCAAACCACACCAGGCTGCGTCTGGGGACCCTCAGGAGAGGAGCAAACCAGTCCTCATCAGCAATTACAAACAAGTCCTCCATTGTTAGCGCACCATCTGCTTTCTGTGTTTCTACCAATCAGGGACCTGTATGCACAGCATAACCAGGGCCAAGAGGGCTGCAGGAGAGTGAGATCAAGGAGCCCCTTCATAAAGACAGGCTTTGCTCACATGGGAGAGCATCGGTAGCTTGGTGCTCTGAAAAGCTGAGACTCCTCTACTCAAGGAAGGCCCATGCAGAGGCGCTCTGTGTTTGCCACCTTCCATGAGAGGAAACAGAGCCCTGCAGCATGGTACACTGGGGGAAATAAGAATAGGTAATTACATTATCTGAGGCTCTACTGGGTGTATTACCCACAGTCAGTTTCAGCTAGAGCTTCTTGTGTCCACATATGGAAGAGCTGCATTAATAGTGGTTAGTATCAAACCAGTAGAATAGGAAGTGCCACTGAGTTATGAAGGACTAGTTAGGGATCTTGACTTCCCATCCTGAATAATCTGTATGAGATGAGTTTGCATCAATAGACTGAAAAATATATCTTCATAGAAGTACACATTTCCTTCAGAGAGACACAACTGAGAGAATGTTCGAATTGCAGTAGAAATCAGCTCTGGTTATTGTGCCAACCTTGGCAGATGGGGTCAGCAGAAAGTCCAAGTTTACGGCTGTGGCAATGTAGACAGTGGTCTGTGTCACTGATAAATGTCCTTTGTCCAGACTTGATAGGAGTCTAGCTGCACAGAATTCAGGAGAGTTGTGAGGGCTGGCAATGGACAGCTACTAAGGCCCAAGTGAGTGTGCTGCAGAAAACCCACATAGAGAACAGGGTAGTATGGAAGGGGTGACAGGGGACATGTCAGAAGGTACGGAAGCTAGGATCCTCCCTCAGAGCTGTGTGGCTGCTGAGGACAGGGATCTTATGTTCCAATTTCACTACTTCAGGGTCCCCTTCCCAAGACTTCCAGTACACATCATGCTGTATATTACCCCCTCTGGAGATTGTCACATTTCAGGTGATAAGGACTGAACACCCTGAAGACAACTCAGAAACCTGCCAGATGAAACTTAGAGACATACATGTAAACTTGCACACCTAGAGGGGTCAATTAGTTTTGCAGGCCATCTGTTGGGTTCCAAATGCTTGTGGCTGTATTTTAGACCAAATCAGTCAGGAAAGGTCAGGAACCAGGAAAAGGATGTAGCTCTGGGTATTGCCTACTGTCTAGAGGACTCCTTACAACATCTGCCTTAACATTGTGGGAGTTTCAATGTCTCTTTCCTTTCCCATCTGTAAATGTGATACCAGCTAATATCCGTCACATCAAGTGAATTTTCAGGTCATAATGATCTACAGAGGTTTTGGGCATTCTCATGCAGCTCTGGGAATACATGTATTCTTAGCATTGTGTTAATTATCAAGCTGGAGCCGTGGGGGTGCCCATGCTTGTATTCATTTGATTTTTATGTTCTTTCCCTTCAGATTAAAATACATAACAGTCTCATTAAAATACTTGAGCAAGGTAAGACTTACACTTCTATGTTACTTCCAAACTCTGCTTTCGGAGAGGGGGTATCGGTTCTCTAACACTCTGTATGCCCACCCTCCTACTTTGGCTTCAGCCTTGTCTGCCTCCTGCTTCCCTCCCCAGGGGCCCTGCCCACTCTCCTGCCCCTGCATGTCTGTGCTGCCGGGGAAGCCCAGCATGGCCTGCCTTTCTTCTGCCCGCATACTCTGGGTGGAATCCGACACCAACACCTGCCATCGTGGAAAATGTCTTTGTCACCCACCCTTTTGCGTGTGGGGCTGCAGGGAGCTGTGGGTACAGGGGCCGCCCCTTTTTTTGTTGGCCAAGTCTGGAGGAGCAGGATGTTGAGATGGGCTGATAAGATGAAGCACGTGTTGCGCTGGCCTTTGACGGCTAGTCCTCCAGGGCCTCCACACAGGGAGGGTTGGTTGTCTAGAGGGCTGCTGAATGGAGCAGCTGAGTGAGGAGAAGCAAACAGAAGCTGGAGAAGTGGAGAGGGCTGCAAACCTAGGTCAGCAGGCTAGGACCCAGAGAACAAGCTAGGTATGGCAGGTGTGACCTCCCAGCCTGGCCTTTTCGTCCTGGGTCTGGGACCCTAGCCCAGCCCAAGGCAACCACCATAGCAGGATGAATAATAACCCTCTCTAGTGTGGCCTGGCTACTCTGGCTCTCCAGCTCACAGGTAAGACAGGCTTTGATAGTGACAATGGTAGTGCCACTCAAGAGCTGTCATTTATCAGCTGTGTCACCCACAGTGGTTGTAGCACAAATGGAAGTAGCTTGCCCAGAAGCCTGCCGTGACCCAGCAGACAGGCTGCTGTACCTTCTAGCACAATGAGCTGATCCTCTGGCCCAGCTGCCCTTTCTCCTCTCAACCATGACTTTTTTTTTTTTGTTTTTTTTTTTTTTTTTTTTTTTTTGTCTTTTTGAAGCAGGAGCTCCCTGTAGCCCCAGCTGTCCTGGAAATCACTGTGTAGACCAGGCTGGCCTTGAACTCACAGAGATCCGCCTGCCTTTGCCTCCCAAGTGCTGGGACTACAGGCGTGTGCCACTACGCCCATGACTTTTTAAAAAAATATTTTATTATTTTTATTTTATGTGTATGTAAGTGCACCACATGCATACAATGTTCACAGAGGCCAGGAGAGTGTTGGATCCCCTGGAACTGGTGTTACAGACAGTTGATAGCCACCATGCTAGTGCTGGGAATCGAACCCCAGTCCTCTGGAAGAACAGCAACTGTTCTTAACTGCTGAGCCATCTCTCAGCCTCTCAGCAATGGCTTTGGACCAGTCTTGGCACTGTTGGAAACTGGGCTTTCACATCAGCCCCCAGAAGTGACTGGAGACACAGAGCCCAGATGCTGTGATCAGGAAGGGGTGAAACAGGTTTGATTGTAAGCACCCCTCCCCACAGGCATTTGTGGACAAAAATTTTGTATTCCCAGGCCCCTCCTGGCCTCTATGTCCTCTGCACCTTCCCTACCAGAGGTGAAGTGGGGCTCAAGTGTTCTTTGAATGAGCTCCAGCTTCCATCCCCAGCAGAGGCCAAACCAGGGCAACCCTGCCAGCAGCTTGCAAGTGGAGTTCCCATATCAGGAAGGCAGCCCTTCTCCTTTGTGGGCCGCCGGTACATTCTGCAGCTGCTGTCTCCCCATCCATCATGGGGTACAGCGGACACAAGGGAGCCATCGCAGGCTGAGGATGTGCCCATAAAAAGTTGAAGACTGAAGGAATGCATGAGGCATGGTAGCACTGGCTCCAGCCCTGCTCCAGGTGTGTCTTTACTTTCTGCCTTCAGAAACGCAAGCCCCTTACTGCAGAGCTCTGCATTGCTGGCTCAGGCTCACTCACTGACAGCCAACATTGCTCTGTCCATCTGTGCATCTGCAGGAGCTCAAGCCGAAGCCCCCCTACCTTCCCTGTTCTCCTTGGTGGAGGGGAGCAGAGTAGAGCTGATGTTTGCCTCCTGACCCAAAACTAGCAATGCTTTATTCTTTCACTTAAGATCTTTAGGCACTGCTAGTATTTTACTGACTTGTTCCAAACTGATCTCATTATAGTAGTGTGTGAGTGGCATTTCAAGCTGGAATACTATCTGGGGTTAAATTGGGTTTCTTTTCTCCAACAGCCCCTTAACCATGATTAAATGTACCTGCCCAGCAACAAAGGACTGGAGCGACACCCTTAAGAAACTGGTCTTTGGATAGATGAATCTAGCTGTGCTGCCTTTGCACATAGCATCCTGGCTTTTTGTATTTTTGTAGTGCTGGGAATCAAACCAGGGCCTCATGTATGCTAGCAAGTGCTCTACCACTGAGTTATCCCCAGCTTTAATAGCCTGTTTCTGAAGAGGAAAGTGGTAGGCAAGAGACCTGGAACTTCCCTGTTTGCCAACCTTGCCAAGCCTAGAAGTGAGGCGAGGGTAAAGACCCTGTCCGTGGAACATGCAAAACCTAGGTGCACACAGGGCAGGGTGCCTCCACAGGGCCAAGCATGCTTCTAAGTACTGATTTCAGATTCTCTTCCCTAGAAACAAGCAAGGTCAGAACACACAGACACACACAGACACACACACACACACACACACACACACACACAGATGCTATAAACAAAATAGAGCGTCCCCAGAGAGGAGCATGCTTCTTTGTACTGACTTCAGATACACTTCCCTAGAAACAAACAAGGTCAGAAAACACACACACACACAGACACACACACACACACACACACACACACACACAGATGCTATAAACAAAATAATCTATTTAAAATAATTCCAAATGCCAACAAAAACAGTTTCAAAGACCAGGGCTCTGGAAGAGAAGTCCATAGGGAAGAGGCTTGTTCTAGGCAGGGGCCACTCAAGGAAGCTTAGGGCATTTAAAAATATATTACTAGGGGAAGGGTGATGAAACGATCCTTTCATTCGCAGAGTGGTCCTCAGGGAAACCAGCTTGTGCTGGCAACAATGGCCAAATATTGCAGCAGACATTCTTATATTCCTCTGAGCTCCCTGACAGCCACCCTGGGGAAGGGAGGGGTGCGGATCCATGGGTTTTAATTTTATTCCTTGTTCCCACTAGTGCTGAATAGCTGCATGCTCATCTGGACTCATTCAGACAAGCAGTTTAGGCCTGACCTCTTGTCTTAGGCCCTTTAGGGAATAACTGAGTAGTAATGCGTGTGAGTATCAACATGTAAACACATGAAGATCCCAGCAACACTACCGGAGATCTGCCACGCTTCCCAACAAGCTTGGCAGTGTCTGCCATTGATCTGCTCCCAGCTGCTCCATGGCTTTTCCCCATTGTGCTGCAGTCGGATACCTGCTTCTTCATTCTTCTGGGTTGGCGAGAAAGGCTGAGTTTATTTCAAAAAGAGTCACAGTTTTCTAACTCATTTTATGCTATAGAAAAATCCTAGGCAAAGACTATGAAAAAAGACACTGATTTTTTGGTCCATTGACAGACATCTTTGCAAACACACTATGAGGCAAGGAAGGATATCAAACTCCCAGAGCTTCAGTCTGTGGCCAGAGAGCCTCATTGGCCTCCATGATGTAGCCATTCTCTGCTTCCCTTACAGGGGTCTTGACCTCCAGCCTGAATATGGACCCTGAGGAGCCCTTCATGTAGAACAGAAAGACCAGACTCCCCTTTTCTCCCCCAAGCCTCCCAATACAGAAACTCCAAGAAACTCTGTGGCTATGCCAGCACAAGCAGCTAGCCTCCCCATTGCTGAGGCCCCCAAGATCAGAGGTGACCTAGTTCACATGAAGCCTTCAAACAAGGCTATGTCCTCTTGTCCTGGAACTTCACAAACTTTGGGCTTCAGAAGAAGAAAAGGAAAAAGTTACCAACAACCAGAGACAAACATGTCACATGGGCAATAGAGCGGAAAAGATTCAGGGCCCACAAGGAGAGGGCCAGAGGGCACTTGGCATCTACCCCCAATTGCTCCCTTCATTTGTACACCCAAGCTTGATTTCCACAGGGGATGGCAAAACGAAACGACCATGTAATTATTGGAGGAATTTCTTCTGCACTGATTTTGCTAGTCCTTACAATGGGATTTAGCATTTACTCAAAAATTTCATCATTGTGGAAATTGGCTATCCCCAGGGTCTTTTCCCATGGGAAGTTTTACCTCAGTCACTGAGCCTTTTTCCACCTGATGCCTGAGGCCCACTGACTAAGGAGGTTCTCCTGACCACTAAGTCCCACTGTAGAACACTCAGAAGTGTCTAGAGAAAATGGAGCTGTCCATATGAGAGCTCTTGAGTAGAACAGGCAGTATCCCAGCTCAGCACAGCACAGCACCACCTTTATCAGCACAGGTGAGTGCCAGCTGTAGCTCCCAAGCTGAGACCAGCACCCCCAGAGTGCCCCGTGATACCCAAAATTCACCTGTAATCTTCCTCCTGCCTGTTGCTTAGAGACCAAGAAAGGCCTTGAAAATTTCTCTTGTCACATGAGTTTTAGGGTCACAGAGTCTAAGCAAGAGATTTGATCTGTATCTGTTACCTATCTGACTGCAAGGAAAATGTGTCTGTTAATGAGGAGGGGAGGGAGGGAAGGAGAGAATAATGAAAGTCCTGCCTCTGTCTGAGCTTCCCATCTCCCTTGCTGGTCAGTTTAGACCTTGTCCAGCAACAGAGAACTCAGTCTATAGACAAGACCTCTGTAGCCTTCCTCTAACCCAGGCCCCAGGCCTGGAATTTCTCAGAGCTCTAAGGGTTATTTCATTTCTTGCTCTGCCTTAGAGAGAAACACAGAAGACGTACCAGAGGTCATCCTTTGCTACATAGTCCTGCTATGTGAGGCCATTTCAAAGTGCATGTGTCCAGGGTGAACCCTCAGAGCAGGAAAACAGCCATAGAGCTCAGCTCAGCTGCAGAGGGGACAGGCATGGGAAGGAAGCCCTGGATGAAGCCACTTCGCCTTCCTCTGCCCTTTGCTCTTACACATTACTCCTATCCTGCTTGGTCACTCCTCTGAGCTTGCTCACCCAGTCAGTATCCATTTTCCCAGAGGAGCCAGCTTTTTCTACCATCCATTGAGTTGGTTTGATCGAGAAAGGGACAGAGCCAGAAAGGCACAGTGGGAAATTCTGAAAGCATCATTCCTTCAGGAGGGAGCGTCATCGAACTGCAGGAAGAACCTGTCCATCCAACTGCTTTGGAGAGAGTGTCGGCAGCCTTTAGTCCCAGGCCCACTGACAAAAGCATCTAGAGAGCTGCCTGAAGTTCAGAGAACACGGGGAGACTTTCCAAAGTTGAAGGAAGCTTTAATCCCTATGAGCTGTTTTACAAGGGCCCAGGGTGCTCACTGACTGGAGCTTTAATGGCTGTGGATAGGGTGATGAGACATGGCATTTCTGGTGTGTCATCAAATGCCTAGTTTCTTACCCTACCCATTCTTTTTGTGATTTGAGCATTCTAGGCTGATTTGGCCAGTTTGCTCAGACTTTGACTGCTGTTGATTTGTTCCTTTTCGTGTTTACAAAGTACCCAGACCTTGTTCCTGTGGGAAGGACATCGCCAGTCCTGGATACCGGAGGCCCTGTAGCACTCTGTCATCAAGTGTCTTCCTGGAAAGCACTCTGTCTTCAGGGTCCATAAACACCTAGTGCAGAATTCCTGGCAGTAGTAGTTATGGAGGTCTTTCATTTTTATGGTGGTGACAGAACCCAGGGCCAGGCCCTGGAAGTCATGTTTAACTCCTCTAGCTTTCTGCTCATGATTTCATTTTTCCTCCACTAACCAACACTCCTAGCCTTAGAGTGAGAAATTCAATTGGAGGTAGCAAATAACTGGACCTTCCTGTAACCTAATGATTTACCAACCCAATGGCCCCAGGTGACAGCCAGTTTTCAGGGGAAGAGGGGTGCTGTTGTAGTCCATAGTTAGTTAGAGCTCTGGCTTAGAGATTTAGAAGAGGGGAGCAGGGACTCTGGCAACCATGTTTGTTTGCAATCATGTGAACTTAGCCGTTCCTGTTATTTGGGGTGGAAAATTGAAATGATCAAGTTTGGTGTTTCTTTTCTTCAGTTAGAAAAGCAAATATTATGTTTTTGTAATAAATGTCTTTTAGCTAAATTGCTAAGGGTCTCTCATCCAGTAGAGACCCTCCACTGTGCCACTCCTCACATTAGTATTAGTAGGTCAGCCATCTGTAATAAAAGTGGCCCTAATTACCCCAAAGTCTGATAAGGTTTGCCGGGCTCCCACAGGGCCTGGCCGGTTCCCTCACTCTCTGCATGCTGATTTCTGGATTTCCACAGAGAAGGAAGCTTATGTTTGTAGTCTTGTTGATTAGACCTTTGTGCTTAAAAATAATAATAATCCCACAAAATTATGACTTTTTAAAAATTGCCAGACATTTGCAGACAGAAGAAAAGAAGCAGCCTGGTAGGTGACTTCCACAGTGTCTTCAGCAGCAAGTCTTTGGAGCCTTGGGTGTGGGGACTCTGACCTTGTGGTGGGTGAATTGGTGGGACCCTTAGCCTTACAAAGGAGATCACACAGCTCCAAAGAGCCATGCAAATCCCGTCTTCCTGACTATCCTCAGGTGTCACTTTCTTCACGTCACTGGCCTGTCATATTTGTATGGAGTGGAGGTTTGATGAACCTATAAGCCTCCTTGTGTGTCTTATTGTAGCTACTGGAAGGGGTGCCAGCACTTGAAGGGAAGCTCACTATGAAACAAGCATCCTTGTAGTTGCACTCGATTTCTATGTATATGACACACACAATAATCGAGTGTTTTCTTAATGTTTTGGGGTCTATTCATGTTTAGTATTTGTAAATTGGGGAAATTTGATAGTATGATAATTAGGTTATAGCATGTCATTTGATTGTTTTGCAGTTTCCTTTTATTTAATTTTCCAATGCTGCACATCAACTCAGGTGGGTGAGACCTCCATGCTGAACCACCTTAGCAGGAGTGTGCATGAGCCGGGACACACTCCACAAAGGCAGCCAGGCTGGGAAAGCACATGGCCCCACTGGTGGCTCCACTCAACTCTCCAGTTCACCCTGTTTCCCTTTTGTTCTGATTACTGTGATGATTTAATAAAGTGGAGACACAGCACTTAGGTGCTGCATGTTTCTGTCATTTTCATAGTTTCTAGGAAAATAAAGTTTATCCTTCTACCTAATAAAAAGTTGGTTTACATTTCTTTATTGAGCAGTTATTCAAATGCATTTTTGAACCAAAGCTTTAAAATGTGTCCACTCTGGTAGTGGGTACCATCCAAGAAGCCTGTAACATTTACCTTATGAGTAGTATTTACTCATGGTTGATATCATAGAATGCTAGTCTCCAGCCACTAGAGGACCTGCATCTGAGCGTCTTCCACTGACCCACTCAAACCCATCCCTGTGTTCATGATGACATGACTATGTTAGTTAGTATGGTCAGTATTAGGGCTCATGGTGACCCTTGCCTTCTACTTTGTCTCTCCAGGGCAGCCCCTTGTACTAGCTACCTTCTGTTCTAGTTCGCTTTTCTGTTGCTGTGATAAAAACATTTAGACCAAAAGCAACTTGGGGAAGAAAGGGTTCATTTCATCTTACAGGTTACAGTCTATCACTGAGAAAAGCCAGGGCAGGTGCTCAAGCAGGAACTGAAGCAGAGATCATGAAGGAAGCTGCTTACCACCAGCTCCCAGGTTGACATTCCCTTACCTTTCTTATGCAACCCAGGCCCACCTGCCTAGGGATGGTACCACCCACAGTGGGCTGGGCCCTCCTACATCTATTAGCAACCAAGACAGTGCCCCACAGACATGCCTGCAGGCCAGTCTGATGGAGAAATTTCCTTAATTGAGATTCTTCCCATGTGTGTCAACTTGTAGCCATCACAATTAATAGAGTCCCTGTCCCTGAGCATAAGATGTATGTGGGGGCTTGTCTTGGTGACTAAGTAGTAGGTGAGGGGTAGTACAGCATCCTGCTGGTATGACAGGAGCCAGGTGATAGGCTTGTCTCAAGACTGATAATCACACTGCAGTCAAGCCCAGAGCCTCTGTCAGTATCCTGGGCCACTCCTTGGTCCAGATAGCAGTGAATTCTCAGGACACTGGAGAACCAAGTTTGTAAAACTCTTTCATTTATTCCATTAGCAGACACCTGTCAATACCTTTTACTTGCAGAACATGTCACTGCCCTGAGAAAAGGTTATCCTGGTGTGTTCTGAGGAGTCAAGTGGGACCTGAATTGACCAGGCTTCTTCTGAGCTTTTAGCTGATATTAAGAGCAGGACATGGTGGCCACACCATTAATCCCAGCACTCTAGAGGCAGAGGCAGGTAGAGATCTGTGAATTCAAAGCCAGCCTGATCTATAGCACAAGTTCTAGAACAGCCAGGGCTACATAGTAACACCCCGTCTCAAAAAAGAATTAAAAAAAAAAAAACTTATAAACAGTTCCTCATAGGATATAACTCAAACTGTGTGGCCCAAAAATAGTAGTTCTCAGCCTTACGATTCACTTAGGGGCTTCCTAAGGAAAGTTCAGATTCCTGCCCATCCAGATTCTGATGTACCAGGGTAGAACCACTGCGTCTGGTGCCCAGGGAGCGACCCCCATGTGTCTACTGGAGCAGGGAGGCTCAGGGACCACTCCCTGCAGGGCAGCCCACTGCTCTCCAGCTCCTGTGTTCCTGCCCCTTGCTAATAGTTCAACTTGGCAGATGGCCTTCCAGAATTCCCAGGCATCTTTCCTCCTGGGTGATACTGGGATACCTTTCAGATCTGGAAATGAACACTTGAAATTTAAAGGATGTTATTATGAATGTCTCATAAAGAAGGTTATTTTCTTATTTATAGAGAAAAGATTGGGGAAGGGGGTAAGTCAAGTCATCATGCTTCCTAAGTCATCTTCAAAAACAGTCACCAACCCTCAGAGCAGATCACGTAGAGCATTCCTTTAGCAGAATTCCAGGAGAAGTTCAGCCTCCAGCGAACAGGACCATTGCTTCAAGCAGTGCTGTCATAGGTCTTTCTCAGTTTTTGTCAGGTGCCAGAATTTAAAGAAAATATATTCTGGGTTTTATGGGGGTTGTTTGTTTGCTTGCTTGTTTGCTGTAGTGGGGATTGAACCTGGGGCCTTGAGCAGCCTAGACAAGCACTCTTATCACAGAACCAGGACCCAAGCGAACCTTCTTTTTTTTTTTTTTTTTTTTTTTTTTGCCCAGGATGTCCCTTAATTCACTCTGTAACCGAAGTGGGCCTTGAATTTGAGATCCTCCTGCTTCTGCTTCCTGAGTAGCTGGGATTATGAACTGCACCACCAGACCCAGCAAGAAGGAGTGTTCTTTTTTTTCTTAATTTCTTAAATGAAATTTTGTGATTTTCATACAATATAATTTGATGGTATTTAAATCCTCCCCATCCATACCTCCACTTACTACCCCCACCCAATTTAATGTAATATATATATATATGGCCTATAGAGTCTGATTTGTGCCCCCAAGTATTGTGTGTGTGTGTGTGTGGCCTATAGGGTCTAATTTGTGTCCCCAATGTCCTTTGGTGTGCGTCCATCCATACTGGAGCCTGGTTAACAAGAAGGAATGTTCTTAAGAAACGCCCTGTTCATAGGAAGATATGTCTGAGTATTGGAAAAATGCCTGAGTTCTTCCTATTTCCTGCAATAGGGTATCTCCTGGCAGGAGACAGGTATTCGTAGTATTTACCTCTGTAAACACACTACCACTATAACCATGTGTATAATCACAATAGGTCACTTTATTGAACCATTTATGTCAAGAAACACTGTTTGCTCTTCCTTCTATAAATGGATGTGGTTTTAATTGCATTTCATTTTCAAACTAAAAACTGGAAGATTGTGGGGAAAGATCACAACTTCTCCCCTGAATGTATTTACTCAAGGCACAGGTCTGCAGCTGGGAACACCATCCCTGTCCTCTATCTGCCTCCACTACAAACAGAGGCATGAAGTTGTTGCTTCACTGGCCTTCACACAGCTGAACTAGAGCTCCAACCAGGCGCTAAGTCTCCAGGTTTCCACATCTTGGTGACACCTAGATTTAGCACCAGTCACTAATCAGCATATGGACTGTTTGTTGGGCAGTGTAGTTTCCATGTACATTTTAGCCACTATGAAAGTGCCTCTAACTCCACATCTGAGGCCACCTTGACTATATTGTCACAGGAGCCAGGCTCAACACAGAGCAACATCTTGACACTGTGGGGATCTGGTTCACTAGGATTCAGGCCTCTCTCCCTACAGTTCACAAAGAGAGCACTTGAAACTGAGCCTACTGGAGTCCAGAAACCCTGGATAACAGAAAGACATTGCTCATATCTTAACTGAAAAATAGACTTTGGAAAAGAAAGATCTGGCATCAAGGCAGATTTCCCATGCCTGCTAGTGCAGTGACTAAGCAGGTCCATCACTCCCACCCTCTGTAGTCAGAGAGCCACGTGGCATTTACTGCATGCCAGCATTTGATCAAAACTGTGATTGCCTCCTAAGATAGCTTATATGTAAGGGGTTCCAGAGAAAGAAGATAAAGACACACCAAGGTCAGGTTCTCTTTTTTTAAAAAAAATTGTATAAGTGTATTGCCTGTGTGTATGTAAGTGCACCTATGTCATGCAATACCCTTGGAAGTCAGAAGAGGGCATTGGATAACCGGAACTGGAGTTACAGACAGCTGTTAGCTGCCATGTGGGTGCTGGGAACCAAACCAGGGTACTCTGAAAGAGCAGCCAGTGCTCTTAACTGCTGAGCCACCTCTCTAGCCCAAGGTCAGGTTCTTGGCATACTGTCTGCTACAGCTTCTGCCCACTCTTAGAGAACAGGAGAACAACAGCTGGTGACCCAGCCAGGGAAAGCAAAGGCACAGCAGTCTACAGCATGTTCCCCCTGCCCAAAGGCACTTTCCAGTGTGCTTCAAAGAGCTAAATGGCAGTACCACAGCAAGGAGATCTAGAAATGACACCACTGCTAAAGGTTCATGTAAAACAACCAGTTAGAATTGGAACATGTTTTTTGGTTATTGTCAGAATTTTATATTTAAATGTTTGGGGGGGGGTCTTTTTTAATATTTGATTTATTTTTATTTTATGTGTATGTGTGTGTTGCCTGCCTGTAGGTAAGTGCACCCGTGTTGTGCAATACCCACGGAGGACAGAAGAGGCTGTTGGACCCCCTGGAACTGGAGTTACGGACAGTTGTTAGCTGCCATGTGGGTGCTGGGATTTGAACCTGGGTCTTTTGCAAGAACAACCAGTGTTCTTAACTATTTAGCCATCTCTCCAGCCTTGGGGGGCAGTCTTTTTGAGACAGGGTCTCCTTGTAGCCCCAGCTGTCCTGGAACTCAGTAGGTAGACCAGGCTGGCCTTGAACTCACAGAGATCCACCTGCCTCTGCCTCCCAAGTGCTGGGATTAAAGGTGTGCACCACCAGAGGGTCTCACTATGTAGTCCTGGTTTACATGGAATTCACTACATACACCAGACTGGCCTCGAACTTACAGAGATGAGCCAGCCTCTGCCTCCCAAACACTGGGATTAATGACTTTCCCAGCCTTATATTAAAAATATTTTTAATACCTAAGTCCCTACTAGCCTAAATTAAGTTGGAGAATATGAGAAGGGAAAAGGGTTTAGGATAACTTGCCATAGAACTGGGCGTGGTGGCACACACCTTTAATCCCAGCACTTGGGAGGCAGAGGCAGGTGGTTCTCTGTGAGTTCAGGCCAGCCTGGTCTACATAGTTCCAAGGACAGCTGGGGCTACAGGGAGTCCCTATCTCAAAAAGACCAAAAAAAATAAATAAATAAAATAACTTGCCATAAAAAGTATTTTAATAGAGCACTTGCCCAGCATGCTCAAGGTCCTGGGTTTGATCCCCAGCACTAGAAAATAAGCATATATGTGTGTTCATATGTATGGATGGATAGATAGATAATACATTAAAAATAGTCTATAAGAATCTGCCTTTTATAAACCAAAGTCAAAGAAGCTAGGGAGTCCTACTTAATATCTTCCATACCAAGTCAGACAAGTAAAACACTGACTAGACTTACTTTAATATCACACCAATATGCTGCCTTCAGTACCAGACCTGTATTATGCATGTGGTTGGAAATTCTATTTAAGACATTATTTTAAGAAAGAAAGAATGCATAAA